GGGGGGATGCTCTTGTTTCCTAGAATTAGAGGACTCGGGGCTTGAATGGAGAACCAGTGATTTCTGGGTGAGAGACGCAAAATTTCGTGTAGACTAGGGGGGCACAGCCACCCTTCCTGTGTAAAGGTGACGAGTTCTGAGGAAACAGTTCTCCCAACACCCCCAGCCCCGCCGGCGGCCCAGTTGCTCCGTTACAAAGGCCCCGGGCTGCCTCCCGCCTCGGTCTCTGCGAATGCGTTTAGTAACCCGAGCTGCTCCGGGGGCGGGGCTGGGAAGGGGTTAACCGCGAAAAAAGGCGGGAGGGAGGACGGAAATTTTGGGGGGGTCCCGGAGACTCCCACCCAGACACCGTCCTCCTCCACTGGGCCCCCTCCCCTGGAAAGGCCCACGGGCCAGATGCCCCTTCACGGTATCCCCAAATGCCCTTCTCTCGGGGCTTGCGCTCGTTCCCTCGTTCTTCGTCCCCCTTAGCCTGGGAATAATGGATTTGTCTGGGGGGCCCCTTGGTTGGGACGCACTTGCGCCCAAGCGCTACCCGGAATCGGGGACCCTCTGGGCGCGGAGATTTCTCCAAGGACGATTTCTTCCCCATCCCCCTCTGCTCTCCCGCCCTCTCCACGGGAAACTGAGGCCTTAAGACCAGGAGAGGCTGGCTCCAGAATGCTCGGCGTGGAAGGCGTGAAGGGGCTAGAGCTTAGGCCTCGGGATTCGTATTCTTGAACTGCGGCTCCTCCTGAAGCCCCCTCCACCTCAGCTCTGCGGGACCCGCGGGCAAAGGACCGCCCTCCCCTCGGCCAAGGCCCGTGGAGGTGGCGCCACCTGCCGGTCATGTGCAGGATGACGGCCGAGGCCCGGACTGGGAAGTGAGGGGAAGGCGGGGTTCTACACACCCCGACCTTGTGGGCTTGACGTGCGCTTAGAAATCCTCTTCGAACTTTAAAAAAAAAAAAATTATTGAAAGACTGTAACGTGAATTTTTTCAATATGCTCTGACTTCCAAACACTAAAGAAGACAAAGGAAAGTAAGGTTGGTTGTGTGACCTTCATCCCTGGAGAATCGAAACAAATTTGCCTCCCAGTATACAGAGCAGGAAACTGAGGCAGGGAGGGTCAGGCCTCCCACTGGCCACTCATCTACCTGGAGCACTGTCAAGCCTTATCTTGGCTTTAGTCTGCCTATCCCCACTGCCCTGGAGCCAGAGGCGCCTGAGTGACTTGCCCACCTCTATTTATAGTGTCACTGCCTGTCGCTGTTGTCCAGGCCGGTCACCCCGGAGAAGCCGCTGCTTCAGAGGTGGGTTTCTCTAGGTGGGTACAGGAAAAGGGTGAAAGGACGTAAGAGGGAAGCCCTCC